CAGATGAAGATAACTATACCTTATTATGGTACAGAAGACTGTAGCGTGTTAAAAAATATGACATAGCAAGCAGAATAGGAGCCTTGAAATGATCAAGCACAAACCAGAATCTAACAGCATGAGCACATGGAACTTTATTAGGAAATGTGGCAAGGACTCATAAGATCCAGATTTGAAACTCACTCTGAAGCTACTTAGCTGTGCAGGCTTTGCCTGGCTAATCTTCCTGGGCCTACATTTGTAGTCAGGAGTGATGATATGAGTATCTACCCTGTTGGGTTGTCACAAGATGTCACTATGATAATGTTGTCAAGTCACTTCACCCCTGGTATAAATGCTATTTCTTTTTTTCTATCTATACTCATCAACTCCTTTCCAGGAAAATTCATAGCTGCTCTTCAGCCAAGTGAAAAACTAGAAGACATCCATTCTCGCTGTTGCTAAAGCCCATCTGCACCCCTTTTGTCTCTTTTGACAGTTTGAAATGTGTGCTCCATAATGCTCTCTCATGGTGTACACATTACTTCATCTCCTTTAGCCAGGATCTTGCCTTCAACTCCAACTGAATAAAGGAAACCAGGACAAATAGCCTTGTTTGTCTAAAACCATTAATAGAAAGTTGTCTGTGTAATGTTCCGGAGGATACATCAATTAGAAATAATATTTGGTTCTAAGGAATAAAGAGCTGAAAATAATGGCTTGATTCAATGGAGGGCTTTCTTTTCCTCATATCAAACAAAGAAACAAGCCTGGACATCATGATCACCTTCCTGGTATTAAGAGCTCAGGTTCCTTTTACCATTTGCTTAGCCTGCCTTAGCAAATGCTACTCTGGCCTCGTGGTGTCTGACCCCCTTCACTCTGGGTAGAAACAAGAGTAGGGCCAAAGCAGTGAATGTACACTCTAGTGGTCAGCTCCCTCCCTCCCTTCTGCAATGCCTCTGGGAAGTGCCCCACACCAGCCTTCAGCAACAGAACCTCCCACAGTGATGGCAATGTTCTATGTGGACTCTTCAAGATGTTAGCTGCTAGCCACTCAGGACTTCCTGGCACTCGATATAGGCTAGGGAAAGTGAAGAAGTTACATTTTTAAGTTTACTTAAAAGTAACAAATGCAAATGGGTGCCTGCTATACTGAAGAACGCAGGGTTAGATCTGACTCATATAACTAACCCATCCAAAAGCAAGGTTGGAAAATGTAGACTTGGGGGCTGGGAACATTGCTCCTTCTCAAAAAAATTATGCTGTTCTTTGTAAGGAAATAATAAACAGATATGAACAGAAGTGGGGAAACAGTAGAGTCTACAACAGAGTGTTAGCTGCGTGCTAATGTTCCTTCAGCCCAAAGGAATAAGGTTCCGAGGGCTTATGGCAGGTGGGTGATACGTGTGTGTCAGAGGAGACTTCTGCCTGACTATCAGGGTCCTATGTCTTGGAGTTCACTCAAGACCCTTCTGCTTACAATGTGAAAACTGGGGTTTAGAAGGTGACTGAGAATCTTCAAAGATAATAGGGTGACCTGCTATGAAATAACAGAGTCAGCTAATGGCCTTTCAAACGTCACCCACAGTGAACTGTAAAATCGTAGGAAGAAAATTTCCTCAGCTCATGGTTTTTAAAATGTAGGGAGGAAAAGCTAGAGAGATTTTGATGCCATCTATTGGCAGAAACAAGTATCAGGTGGTCCTTCATAGCACAGCTTGTTACTGAGTATTCGAGGTATCATGGGTCATGCAGGGTCCTTGTAATCTCTGCCTCAGCTTGGAACAATTGTTATGAACTCTCCCTTGATTCTTCACATCTTAGAAAGGCTTCTTTGGAAAAGTCCTTTCTGCTTTCCAGTAACACAAGTTACCTCAGGAGTACATGGAAATATAAAAGGAAAGCATATCCTCCAATTCTCAAAATTACATGAAGTGGGGGGAGAACCCACCACATCTCATACCTTTGAGCTATAAAAATAACCCTGAGGTGAAATTCAAGGCTTTTCTTTGATCCAAGTTTTCAAAAATAAATCCCGTTATTTGCAGCCATCGCTTGACTGGTTGGATGTGTAACCATCCTACAGCTCAAAAGGAAGAAGAAGGAAAAAAAAAAAGAAAACAGAAATTCCATTTCAAAACAAAATGCTCACCCTGAGTCACTCAGGGAAGGAGCCAAGGTTTCTGATGTAGGGCACTGACTCTCCGCCTGTTTTTCCCCTTCATCATCTGCCACCCTTAAAAATGCTATCAACCACACAGGGAAGAGTTCACATCCCTTCCCTCTTGTTCCCTGGCTCCCTTCCAGCCTTTGACTTGTCATACTGATGGGTGAGATGCCTTTCATACTGGCATAGGACACAGAGCGGATGCCTCCCCTTATGTTATCCTGCAGACCCAGCGAGTGGAGCCACTCAGAGCTGGAGTCTCCTTTCAGCTTGCGAACGTTTGGTGCCACCAAGTTCAGCGGCCTGGCTTTAGATAACCTTAACTATGGCTGTAGAACCCAGCCACCTGGAGTCCATGAAAAGGAGAGTTGGGAGGAGGTGAGTGGCATGGGGGAAAGGAAGGTTTTGATTTCACAATCGTTGAGGGGACTCCGACTGGTGGGCAACTTGCCGTGGGGGCTGTGATGAAACAGTCTATTAGCTGGTTATAAATAATTGTACAGTCGAGCTGTTGGTTTCATAGGAGAGGTGGGAGTGAATTCTGCTTATGTGCCTCACAAAGAGCCTCTTTGAATTTACCTTCAGAGAGAGAGAGAGAGAGAGAGAGAGAGAGAGAGAGAGAGAGAGAGAGGTGTCCTGGCATAAAGCTGCACATGTGTTCTTCGAACTGGCTTGCAGGCAAACTGTTTGTTTCTAATTAGGGAGCCGAAGCCTGCTGGCAGTCACAAGTTTTGGTGTTGTGTTTAGTTTCCATGCCTGTGCTTTTGGCATGGGGGAGGGGTAACTGCATTATGGTTTTCTCCATTGGTTTTGACTTTGTAACTTCTCTGCGGTCCGCTTTTAGTTGCCAGGTGCCTTTAGAGCTTGCTTCTCGTAATACTCAGCAAGAACTGAGCTGTGGCCTGGTTATCTCAACCAACTAAACCTGGTTTGTGGTAGAAATAACAAAACTACTTGGGGAGGCTGTTATACAAATTAAATGGGCTGATACATAGAATTGATTATTGGAAATAGCGAATGTGCAGCAGATCCTAACTGCCTTCCTCTTTGGCTATAAAAGAAGAGGTTTGTTTTAAACATTCTAGAAGACATTATTTAAGACATTTTAAATTTAATAAGTGTGTATTTGCTGTCTGCTAAGTGGAGACACCCTCCGAGGCTTTGTGGCTGTAATCACGAATGAGTTAAAAAAACAAAACCCAGAGGTATTATCTCTATGGAATTTAAATGTTAGGGTTCACAGTCAACATGCAAGAAAAATAAATAAGGCATTTATTTCCTTTATTTCGTCTTTGCAAATTTAGTCCAACACAAACTGCATCTCTAGGGTTAGATGCTACTGAATGAAATCTAGGAGGAATTAATGAACCTATTGATGACTTTGCTTTCCCAGAATCCATCCTTCTTTCCCCAGTAGGAAACCCGGAGTATCCCTGGGAGGTCAGTCCTTCCGGCTGTAATGTGTGACTCAGATGAAGCTCTAGTCTGTTTCCAGTAGTACTGTGAGCATATTTCCTGCTCCAGACACCAGCACCTGTCCTTTATTGTAACTGCACATGTCAAAGCCTCAATGACTAGCTTGTGCATAATCACATGACCTAAGTGTTCTCAGTCAAAGCAAACCATGGGTTCGTGTGTAAGCTCTCCATGATACAGCTAGATTCTCTCACGGTTAGTTATTTGGTTTTTTTTAGGCTTGTGGCTAATATGGCATCTCAGAATAGCAGGTGAGGAGACTGAAAGAAGAAAAATGTTGATTTTTCTGGAAACTGTTTCTTCTCAAAGATCTTCTCATTTGATTTCCAGAATCATTTTATGAGTCCCCTTTGCCTTCTCCTGTCATTCCTCCTCCTGTGCAGTGGTGTGACACTTATAACCAAACCCCTTGCCTTGTGAGAGACCACACCTTCCTCTCTTGCCCTGTGTGCTTGCCCATCACTTCTAACCTCTGTGGGACCCCCAGGTACAAAGAGAGCCTTTTATTCATTTTGCTTTATGGATTATAAAGTCTAGTTTAATTCTGATCATGGGAATACCCGGGGAGATTTTGGTTGTCTGGTTTGTCTACTTCCTCAGAGACAGATGGAAACACAGCCTGGCATGCCTCCTCATCATCATTCCTTTGCCTGAATCTGACTACAAATCAATAAATTTGTAACAGAAAAGTTGTCATCTCCATACTGCCCACAAAGGACAGGGATGTCACTTAGTGACACTGCAAAGGAAAGCAGAAAAGCCACAACTTCTTGTATAAACGCTCTGTAGTGTGTCCAAAGTGTTTTATAATATGTGGCAACGGTTACTTTCTGAATAAGACCTATGGTTTTGGTTTGGGCTTTCTGAGACGGTGTCTCTAACCCAGGCTGGTTTCAAACCCCCCTTGTAGTTGAGGGTAACTTTGACCTTCTGAGCCTTCTGCCTCCACCTTCCAAATTCTGGGGTCTCAGGGATGCAATGCCATGCCTGGCTTTGTACAAGATTGGGGCTTGAATGTAGAACCCTCTGAATGTTAGATCAGTGCTCTAACAGCTGAGTTACAACCTCAGCCAAAAGCTCTATTTTAAAACATACATTCCCTAAGCATGGTGAGATGTTTGTATTCAGGAAAACATTCTGAGGTGAAGAGAAAAGTAGGTGTTTGTTCATTTAATCATGCATTTATGGACATGTAGATACCTAAATAAGTGCTCAACGTCACTCCCATTTTTAGTGAGAGTTGAGCCAGTCAAGAAGTTTTCTTGAATGTATGCAAAAAAATATATAGCTCCTATTCCCATCCGTCTGCTCCTGTGATTTCACTGCTTTATCATAGAATAAGGAGAAATTAATCACGTGCCTCTCAGGAGCTGGTGGGAATTGCAAAGCTGAGCAGGGAATCAGGGCTGAGGGCGCGGCAGGACCACGGAGAGCGCCAGGGCTGCGACCAGGGCGGGGCGTCGCTGAGTCCCCGGAACCCCCCAGGGGGCGCTCGAGAGGAGGCTTAAGAACTAGTATCTTGCTGGGCTGCTGGGCGCAAGGGTTTCGTCAGAAGGTGGAAATCTCAGCTAGAAGCTGCCATCTCCTGGCTCTCACCCCTCCCTCCCTCCCTTCCTTTCCTTCCTCCCTCACTCCTCTGCTCCCTCCCTCCTTCCCCAGTTCCTTCCTCTTTACTCAGCGAGTTCCTGAGCCCAGCATCTCCTTTCACGCTGTTCACCCTCTCCCCCAGCCCCCACCCCCAAGAATGGAGTCGGGGTTTCCAGAGCTACCAAACTCTCCTCCCAGCATCTTTATGCTCCTCGGCTGTTGCTAAACTGCCCCCAGAGGACCAAAGAGGGGGAAGGAAAGCCCGACCCTCCTAAGACCTCTTTACAACTACATCACCCAGGACCTCCACTCCAAAGGCGGATTTTGCATCCTGGGGGCGTGACAGACCTGTCCTGGGCTGAATTCTCTTTCTAGTCTTCGAGGCTGGCACACCCAGGTGAGTAGATGCCAACTCTGAGCCCTGTGTTCTTGCAAACTCGTCAGGGCTGCTGCGTAGCCAGACCAACTTTTGAGAAGATCTGGGTTTTCACCCAGCTTGGCTTGTTTGTCATTGCTGTTGTTCTGAACAGCGGCAGGAACAGCAGTCCTTAAAGACAAAAAAACTTTCAGCCAATATACCTTCTTTTTCACGTAACTCCACTCGTCCAGGTGGAGTGGTAGGGAGACCCCAGGTGGGACGACAGTGTGGAGAATGAGACTGGGCTATGGAAGTCCTGCAGGCTTGAAGGAGGATTATTATTGTTTTAGAAATGAGAAGGGGGGATGGGACCAGAGTCCAGGCTGGAGTTGCTGCTTCCCATTTGACATCAAGAAAGGTGTGGGGCATCAGTAGTGTTAGCCAATGGCTTGACCATCCTGCTGTTTGAATTCGGCTGCTGTACATTCTTTACCAAGAGGTCCTAACAATATTTAACTGCGTCCATGACTCTCAGGCGTACAACTAACCCATGGGCTTGCTGGTAGCTTTATTTGGCTCAGTCTCCAACATTTTTTCTTTTTGTTAAATGGAATAGCAAGGTGGTAAAGAGGAACTAGGAGTACTGGCAGTTGGTTCTGACTAGAGAGATCAAAACTCGGTATCACATACTACCAAGGATTGCTAGAACTGAATCCAAGGGAGTCAGAAAGTGGTCCACACTGAGTTGAGCTGAACAGCAAGGGGGTGGGAGTGGACAGAATCCAAGGAATTCTCTTAGGAATGTGAACTCCGTCTTCCTCTTAGTGTAAGTGGTCTTCATGGCTGCTAACCTCGGTCTGCATTCCAGATTCTATTGGGGGGTGGGGCTCCCAGGATTTTGGGAAGATTGCATGTGGAGATTCAGTGGGTGGAAGCAGGAAATAAGAGCAAGGTAGAAACGGAGTGGGGATGGGGTGGAGGCAGAGAGAGACCCTGGGGAAGTTGATAAGAAGTACTGTCTCCTTCATGCTGTGGACCCACCAGCTCCTAGAATGTCCATGCCTCTGGACCTGAAAAGCTTCAGCAGTTTCACACTTTGTCTTTGAAACTCTGCAGACCAGACCAAGTGCTTCATCTTATTGCTGCTTTGCAGGGATTTTCCAAGCTCAGCTCTGGTTTCTCTTGGCTCACTTGTTTCTCGGTTTCCTGAACAGCATTTTGAGCTGTTACAGAGCACTTAAGTGTTTTGACTGGTGAGCCATCTCTCTAGCTCCAACTTAAGTGTTCTTAACTGAGACTAAACTCTGTCTTTATTTAAACAAAACCCTCCAGACTACCCCTAGCTCCAGAGTCCTCCCTGCTCCTAACCCCTGCTTGCTTCTTCCTAGTCTCTAGTGTTGAAGGCATTTGTGGTTTCTGTTTTATATCAATGCAATGTAAGCCCCACCCCTTCAAACTTTCTTTACAATGTAGCTCGGTGGTTTTGCATCCAAAGCCCGCTTTGCCGTTCACAGTAACAGATGAAACTTCTTAGCCACAGTTGCTGAAAAGCCAGAGGCAAAGAGACCACTCTATTTGATGTCTTTCAAGTTTAGGAAGACCACTTTTTTAGCAGAAGATAAGACAGGACTCAGGAGGAGCTTCTCTGTAATTAGATAAGTTCTGACGGTTCCATTTTCCTACCTGAACTGCCCCTGGGTCGAATTCATTTGATTTGTCTGCCTGGTGTGAAAGAGGGGCTGACAAAATCCATCTAGCAGATCAGGGCTCTGAGCCGAGTTCGTCAAAGCTCCTTACACACAGAGATATAGATAAAAATAGAGAGGAGGTTTGGAAATACAGTTAGGACACCCATGTGTGTTCGGCCAAAATTTTCACATTTTCTTTTGATGGAAATATCCTAACAGTTTCACGGGTTCAAATTCAAACCACGTCAGAAGTAGGTGATTCCCCCTGAGCATTATATAAAACCATTTGTTGGCCCATAGTGGGAATGGACGATGAAGACTGGGCAGTTCCCAAGGGCCATATGAACAAAGCTGCTTGTGATGAAACCAACCCTTCACTCACGTGGTCCCATGTAAGAACTCCCCTTGGCATAAAATCCAGGCCTTTCTTGGCAGACTGGTTTTTACTCTTCCAATACTCTTATGTCCTTGGGCACAGACAGCTTTTTAGCTCCTGAGATAGAAACTTTACTAGAACTTATACATTTTTACACTAGAATAACTGATTTGGGATCTGTGTGTTGCCTCTTAATTGTAAGACAGGAAAAGGAAACAACTTCCTGTTTCTGTCCAGGTAGGGGTATGTGACAGTTTGCATTTTGCTTAAATTATCAGCTTTGTCTTAAGGGGTCCCTGCTTCTCTAGATTCTGGATGAAAAGTTTCGTATTGTAAAGGATTTTTTTTTCATGTGTATGTAAAAGTAACATTGTAGTTAATAGAAACAAAGATGGTATCTGTTGAGAGAGAGAGAGAGAGAGAGAGAGAGAGAGAGAGAGAGATATTAAAACATCTAATTTTTTGCGTCCATTATTATAAGTTTTATCTTTAGCTTACCTGACTGTAAGGAATAGTCACAGGAAGAAACTGAGTCAGTGTTGGAATCTTTTTTCACATCTGTATTAGAATCCATCTCTTTTGATTCAGCTGAATGTATTTATAAGCTTTGTACCATGATTTGCCTTTCCTTAGTGCCTGGAAGGTTAGGACCACCTTTACTCACACAGGAAAAGAGTCACATATTTTTGGAATGGTTCGAATCCAGAATAAAGACTGAGCAGCCATTCTGAGGATGTCTACCTGGCTGATGAGCTGTGTGTTTTCTAGTGGACAAAAATCATGTGATTAGAAGTTGAGGAGATTTGTATTTCATGGATCTTAAAGAGGAAAAGGGAAGTAAGTTCATCCCCTTTGTTTGATCTTTCCATTTTTGTCTTGTTAATATTTTAAAACAAAACAAACAAACCCCTTTGGATCCATGGCAGTAACCCAAGTCACATTTCCTTGGCAACGGTAGTGACACACTGGAGTTATGAAATAGCAAAATAGAAAATTCTAAATGCATTCAAAATAAAATGCCACCCAGTTTAGGACCATCCTCTGGTGCGTTAAAACTGATCTTCCAGCATTCAGTAAGAGTTGCTTCTTTCCAGATTAAACACAGATGATTACAACTGGTCTGTAGTTTTTATTCTGTTTAGAACCCAAGAATCTTATCCTTTTGTTGTTGTTACTGTTGTTATAAGAAGCATGTCATGAAAAGAATTAGCTTGATATATCAGATCCATTCTCTGGTTTGGGTATGTAGAGGTTGGTATTAAGCTCAAGACCAAACATAGTAGTGTTGACATGGGCTCTCAGTCTTTCCTATACTAGTAATCTCACTTCTAAGAGGCTTCTGTTTGTTCTATGAATACATATGATTCATCATATAACATACCACACACACACATGTTATATCATACAACATATTTCCCTGAGTTGGTAAATCCCAATGACTTTTTATCTGTCTGCTACATTCTTTGAAAACCTCAAAAGGACCACTAGCTGTTAGATCAGTGCATTTTGAAGGCCTCGAGGTGGATCTTGAGAAGAAAGAGACAGTAGGTGATAGTATGGCTTTTTCTAGTTCTGTGCTTTTACTGTACCCAGGGGTGGCAGAGCTCACTTAAGAAGCTATGTGGTAGATTCACTTCTAAATGCCAAAGACCAACTTAGCACTGTGAATCTAGGACTCTTCAAACTAGTTGAGCTTGAGGATAATCTACTGTTTCATTGGTCAGCTGTGGAAATAAAAAGTCAGGGAATTGACTTGTTCAAGACCAGAAGACTCATTCGAAAACCTTGATTACTCCTCTTGTCAAGAAACTCCAGTTCCCTGCAGGCCATTATTGTGGTGTGCCAATCCCTGGCGCCATGTATGCTGATCGTCTCTGTGGACCAAGAGTTGGAGATGATGGGGGGACGGGGACTCCCACCTCCATTGTGGTGTTTAGAGAGTCAGGCTTGGGAATTTATTACATGTTCTCTTGGAGACACTGCGATATTTACCCAGTAGATGTGATTAAATTTGTACAAAGTCATTGTCTGCAGCCACCTCTGTTAGTGTGCACGCATTGTGAAGATCTGCCCATGTGCAGACTTAGATTCTATTTTAAATGTCACACAGAGTCAATAAAATAAACACAGAGATTTTCTAAGTGTTCACAGTTCTAGGAATCCGTGGGGGAATCGTAACTCTGCTTTAAGTTAAAGGCCTATTTAAAGTGAACAAACTTTCTTAAATGTTGTCCTCACATATCTGGTTCAGAACACAATATATCTAGCTTCATTATTCTTATTTTTTAAAGAAAACAAGGGATCCCCGCCCCCCGCCCCCCGCCCCGTGCCCCTTGAAAATATTAGGGGGAAATACAGCATTTCAATTGGACCCTAGAAACCTTCTCTGGCTTAAATTGAACAAACTAAAGACATTTCTTTCTCAAAGATCTAGCTCTTTGGGGCTACTGTATTGATCCTTGAAAGAGAGGACTGGCGGAAGCTGGTTAGCAGGGGTCTCCTCCCTCAAGTCCCCAGGGTTGCCTAGTCCAATCTGGGTTACAGAGGGTTAGCATTAGAGTGGACAGTCGCTAGAGGGCGCCGGAGCACCGGCAGAGCCCACCTCTGGGGGACCATGAGCTTTCTAGGTTCAGGGAAGTTGGGTGATGAAGCTTCGCAACTGTGCCCAGGTGTGAGGCATGAGATTTCTTCTCTACTCTGTCCCTCCAGCCCAGATTGCGCTATGCCTCATACACTCACTTGTTCAGTAACAGGGAGCCACAGGCTCTGCTCCAAAAGCAGTTTTGAAAGTTACTAGGCTGGGGAAACTTTCAAAACCAAAGGGAAGCAAGAGAGATGGACATGTGATCCAAGGCTAAAGAAAGAGAGTCATTGCTTTGTCTCTGTAAACCTGGAAGGGATTCTTTACAAAACTCACCACCGTTTGGTGTTTTCATCTCCCTGTTATCAAAGAACTAGGTCAATGGAGGGTAATT